TAACAATCAGAAACACTGTTAACAATCAGAAACACTGTTAACAATCAGAAACACAGCACACAGTTCATACCCAACGTTTTTCAACGCTCACATCGTCTCTGGGATGAGACTCTCTCACACATTTCCACATCTTTAATACAGATTTATTACTGAAAGAATTTGATGACACGCGGCAACTTTTGTAGTTAGTTTATAAAAGTATTTAATAAGAGTGTAACGGTACACGTGGGCGTACTGAACCGTTTCAGTACAGCATGTTTGGTCCACGTGCATACCGTCACGGTTATTTTTTCACTCTTTAAATTTTATTAACGAGAGATATTAAGTTCCTACGCACGTTTCAGCACGGAGCTATTATCTTGCAGCACGCGCAGCATTAGCGGTCTCCTGTTTGGGAACATTATGTCGTTCTTGTTAAAAGACAAGTGAACAAATCCAAAGCTGTGTGTCGACGTTGTTTCACGGAGATTGGATCTGCAGCAGCAACACGTCGAACATGTTAACGCTCTTGAAACGACATCATCGTGAACGTCTCTTCTAGCAGCTCGGTGCAAAGACCGATAGCAGCAGCATTTAAAAAAACCTTTATCAGGTGATTCAGATTGGTCCAAAGCAACAACACAAGCTGTAGGAGTTTTTAAAGCTCTGGATCTATGTCCGAATGTTGTTGATGCGCCGGCTTTAAAGTTACTGAGCCGTACTGCTACGACATCATCACGTCAACACTTCAGCCAAAAAGTAGTAGCAGCACTTTATGAAAAAGATAAAACTGATCATCAACAAGCCCTGGACCAGATTAAAGCCCTGCCATGATGATGAAGAGCGAGCGAGAATATTCAACCACCTCATATGATGACTGTGCAAGAAGAGGTGTTGTTATTGTATTATTGTGATCTAAATAACTTTAATTTAAAATTATAATCTTATTAACTCAATTTTTTTTTTAAATCTCTGTGTTGTTTGCAGTCTGAAGATGATAGCCGAGTCTTCTTCATCCACCAGGTCACCTCCAGCTAAGAAGTCTGTAATGACTGAACTCGTTTACTTGGCAGTTTTTCAAAATAATCATTTTGTCTTTATTTTGGCCTTTTTGTACCGAAAATTAACCGACCCGAGCCCTTGAAACAGAACCGGATCACCAAAATGACTTAATTCATTACAGTAAATAACAGGAGGGAGACGTCCGACACACATTGAACGCATCACTCTGCTTCAGCACAGCAGAGTTCTGCTCCACCTCTTTGGTTCCGATGGACCGGGTTAATTTCTGAACGCTCGCCTCTGAACAGGACGCTTTACCTGTGATTACATATCAAGTTGTTCTCTTACAACGTGGTCACATTAGAGTCTTACAGTGTCAGCAGTGGATGATGAAGGTTAGCGCTTTTAATTTCTTATTTAGCAAAACTAACTTTTTGATTAGCTGTGCCCACCACAGTTCAGCTCTTTATTTTCAGAAATTAAAACATTTAATCTTTTAGGAAAACAAAGATACTTAAAAACACTACTCACAAAAATAAGGGATGCATGGCTTTAGGGTGAAATGTCAGGTTGAACTTATTAACGAGTCTTTTAGTTGCACATGTGCAACTGTTTGTGTCTTTTTGCACAACTTCTCCAACAAGGAGCTTAATGGCAAAATTCACAATACGTGAATCCATGAGTCGACCAATACAGTTCCTGGTTCACTTAGAATTGGTACTTTTTAAAACAGTCATGTTCATCATCTTGTTCACATTTCGACACCAAGACGACACTCAACGGATCAACAGTACTTCATTACTGCGAGGCTCCAAACAGGACGTTCTCAGACGGAACTGGCCACTGAGCTCAGCGTGTCAGCAGATAGAGACTGGAAGAGTCTCAGAAAGGCAGAGAAGTGGACGTCCTCTGGCCACCCCCCACACAGACGACTGCTTCATGGTGAACAGCGCCTTACGGAACTGGAGGGTTCAACTCCAGGGACATTTCAGTGAAGTGAGAGGCACTCAAGGTCAGACCATTCAACATCGTTTACATCAGCGTGGTCTGTGTGCTAGACAGCCTGCAAGGGTACCTGAGCACACCACCAGGTACAGGTGTCATGGTCTTACATGGGCCAGCGAGCATTCACGCTGGACGAGGGACCAGTGGGCCTCAGTGTTGTAAGCTGATTGACGTTGAGCAGAAATGACGGCTGCCAACGATGTTGGGAGACGTCATGGAGAGCGCCGAGCATCAGACAAGCCTGGTGGTGTTGCAGTGTAGGCAGGTGTGTTTACTGCCCAACACTTTAACGGTACAGTGACAAGTCCAAACCACCTGAATAACAATGATTCCAACCACTGCACCTCTGCATGAACAACACAGGCCCAATTTCATCTTCATGGACGACAATGATCCAACTCATAATGGTCGCATCATCAGGGAACAGCTACTGGAAACTTTGGTACCTCAACAGGAATGGCCTGCACTTTCTCCAGACCTGAATCTCATAGAAAACCTGTGGGACCAGCTGAGTCGCTGTGTAGAGGCTTGTAACCTAGTACCCCAGACCCTCAATGACCCGAGGAGGAGTGGGACGCCATGCCTGAGCAGACTTCTGAGCACGAGACATCGTGTCGAGCTGTAACTGATGCTCAAGGGCACATGACAAGTTATTGAGACGTTGACATTTCTATTGGGGTATACAGACCAATGCTGTTGGCCTTTTCTCTCCAATAAATGGTTTGTGATGAGGAAATCACTATTCCATGCTTGGGATTTAAAAGCCCTACATTCAAGATACATCACCGCAGTGTGAACATTTTCCATCAATTTCACCACATTTCAAAGCCAAACATCCTTTACCGAGTGCATTAATTCATACCACAAAACCTGAGGTTTCAAAACTGAAACCAAACATACTTTTCTATATTTTCCAATGCTATGCCACATCATTTTATTTCTAAAGCACTTACACAACATAGTAGCCGACCAAAGTGCTGACAAGCGTGTCACAAAGTTTAATGTCTCATAAAAAGTATAAAATAAAAACTTTGAACCCTGCAAGAAAATAAAATATCTAGTTCTGAAAAGTCCAGATATTAAAACGGGAGACGGACGCTTCGCTGCAGAAATAAACATTTGAAGATGAACTCACCTTCCAGGCATCGTCGTCCTCGTCAGGTGAGTTCACCTGAAGAGAAACAGATAAACATGAAGAGTTGAGTCAAAACATCAGAACAATTTAGAGCAGAAAACACCTCAAAGGTTCTTTTAGTCGACACCTTTACGTCATTTAACCAATTTCATTTTACATCTTTTTCTTTCAGCTGGTTGTGATTTATGTGCAGCTTTATTTTTTAATGTGTTAAACATATTTATATAAAAAAATAATCTGGGAACAATAACTTTATATGGTTTAATCTGGTTTTGATTTCCTCATTATTTTGATCGGACACTTGAAACTGTTAAATCCTCACAGCGCCTCTGGAGTTAACACCAGAACTAAGTTCTGATCGGAGAACAACAGATCCGGACTGTCTAAGATCTGACCCGCAGACAGTCCTGGATCCATTCGGGTCCCGGAGGTACAGGTACCGAACAGCTCTCAGGTCCGACGCTCAGTTACAGCGTTTCGACCAACCAGAACACAGATCTGCTCGGGTTCATCCAGCTTTCAGAACAGAGTCCAAACGCTCCATCAAAGTGAAAACCCACTCAGTCGAGGACAGAACTGATCCATTCAGGTCCGATCCGGTTTTGTTCTGACCATTCTGTAAATTGTTTTTGGACCGAGCTGTTACAAACTCAACTGATGCTTAAAATCAGGCCCCACACCACCCGATAGTTTCACAGCAACGCCTTTTAAACCGTTTATATTAGTATTTCACATCGTGAGCCGAGCAACGTCTGAACGACTCAGAGCAGCTGAAACTGGTGAACATGAACTCTTCAGACCGAGCGAAGCTCCACGAACCAGGAGGCATCGAATTATCTGGACCACTAAGAATCACAAAATACTGACTTTGAACATACAAAGCCCTCAACAACCTAGCTCCATCTAATACTCGAGATCTTGTTGTTCCATATTTTCCTAACAGAGCACTT